AAATAAATCAAAATTTGTTTAAATTTTTTTTTTTATACATAAATTATTTAATTGTTTTAATTTACTACCCTTTTCATTATTTGTTTGATGAATCTGAAGCATTTGGTTTCAGCTTTGAATGTATTGTTAACTACAAACAAGTCATCCCCTGCCAACAGCAACCACCAGCAATCAAATAGTAGAAACGTTGCGGCCAAGTCCCCTGTGACTGGCTCTACCCCTGCCTCAATCGCTGCCACCAACAATGAGCAGAGCCAACAATGCATTGTGCGGGAGCAGGACCAATACATGCCAATCGCTAATATGATACGCATTATGCGACGAATTTTACCCTCTCATGCAAAGATATCTGATGATGCAAAGGAAATCATCCAAGAATGTGTGTCTGAGTATATCAGCTTCATTACTAGCGAGGCCAACGAGCAATGCCAAAGGGAGCAACGTAAGACAGTGACAGCAGAGGATGTCCTTTGGGCCATGGGGAAGCTAGGGTTTGACAATTACATTAAGCCATTAATTGTCTTTCTCAATTGCTATCGCGAGTTGGAGAGTGATCGAATCCGTACAGAACCGATCATGAGGCGCAATGTAGATTATGGACCACACGTAGGGATGATATCACCGTATGGCCAGACGTTTCAGATAGGGCACGTCCCAACAGAAATGTTTGATGCAATGGGTAGGTACTACGATGGAGGTGGCAATGGCGGGTCGAGCTCGGGCAATGATAGTCAACTTTGATATAAGTTTGGCTATATATATATATATAAACATAATGAATAAATATCAAAAGTAACCAATGATTATAGCTCATTTCATTTGTTCTAATTTGATGGCTAGCATATCATGTATGCGAACTTAAATTTTTAAGATGGTTGTAAAAAAAATGATTAAATCAATTTTAATTTTATTTAGTGTTTTTTTTTCCATTTTTTCCAAGTTTTATATATTAAAAAACTAACAATAATAATCGTTCTTTTATTTAATGTTACAAAATAAAATAAAAAAATAAAAAAATAAATAAATATATATATATATATATATATATATTCCTTTTCAGTTTTGGAAAGTACATTTACATATTTAATTAAATAATTAAGAAAACAATTATATTGAATTTATTTTTAACACGATTGTTTAAAAGATTTTATTAGTATTTGTTTTATTGAGGGAAATCAGTCTAGGAGAAGCTCGAAAAGAATTTATTGAATTTTCATTTCCGAATCTCAACTCAGTGATGGATAAGCTTCATCATCGAGAGGAAAAAAAGTTCAACTAAATTGAGCCATGACCCGTGCATAGAAATTTCATTTTCACATACCTCGTCTCATTATTTCAAATCACAAAATTTTTCACGCTACTTTTTCAATGAATCAAATTTTTGGGATGCATTGGCCATAAAATTTAGAACGATAAGCACTTTATAAAAAATCGCAAAACTCTCCTCTCTCTATTGAAATTTTTATTTCTTTCAATACCCTATAAAACCGACCTCTGATGACAAATGAAATCAAATTATTTACTTGATTTAACTATTAGTTTTTTATGAATAGATGTTGAAATCAAATTAAAATTGATTTTATTTATTAAGAGAATAATCTAATTTGAATAATCCGAGAAGAAAAAATAGTAATGTTAACAGAAAAATGCATTATTGTCACATGTTAGACAATGTACTAATAAGTTATTATAGACAAAGGTAACAAAAAAGAATCATTTTAGACATCTGTACTAATAAAAATACAGTTAATTATATAGACAATTGTCACACAAAAAATCTTATTTTAGACCAAATACAGTTAATTATATACAAATGTCACACAAAAAAATATCTCATTTTAGATATCTCTACTAATAAGAATACAGTAATTATAGACAATTATCACAAAAAGAATATTATTTTAGACATATGTAACAATAAAAATACAATTAATTATATACAAATGTCACAAAAAAAAATCTTATTTTAAACATATGTACTAATAAGAATACAATTAATTATAGATCATTGTCACAAAAATAATCCTATTTTAGACCTGTTTATTAATAAGAATACAGACAATTGTCACAAAAAGAATCCTATTTTAGACATATGTACGGATAAGAATACATTAATTATAGACAATTGTCACAATAATAATTTTATTTTAGACATCTGTATTAACAAGAATACAGTTAATTATAAACAAATGTTATAAGAAATTTTTTTTATTTTAGACATATCTACCCATAAGAAGATTCTTCTGTATTTTCTTTCTTTGGATTTCCGTGATTTAAAGAAGAGAAAATAGAGGAGAGTGATATATTGATTAGAACGAGTGAAAAATTAGATTTTATTATGATATTTTACCTCTACCGGTGATTATTTGATCCTATTTATTATGTCATTTCAAGTTTATCCCTCATTTGTGTAAAAGAATAAAAATATGAATTTTACTACGTTACATAATTCATAGAAGAGTTTAATCAAACATTTTCTCTTCTCTATTGTAAATTTTTTTCTTCCAATGTCGGCAAGTACTTGGAACAAATCATTTATAACGATTACAAGGGGATCATAATTACTTAAAATCTTTACAAGGGATCTTAGTTACTTAGAATCTATTTTAAACTTTTTAAAAATCATGAACAAAATTTTAAAAATAAATAAATAAAATAAATCATAAAACAATTATTTAAAATAATTTTAATGAGGTTAGTTTAATTTTTTTAACATTAAAAATTAAAATAAAAGTTTGAATATTAAATAATTTATTAGATATGTTTAGTTACGGTTTGTTCTTAGAATTACAGGGAGTTACCTTAATACTAATAAACATGCTGTTACTTTTTTTTTTTGTTTTAAAAATTATTCATGCTAACTAAAAGTTTTATTTTTATTTTTAATTTTAATTTTTAATAATGTTTTCTAAGTTCTAATCAAAATGAAAATAAAAAAAATCTTTTTTCCACCAACAAAGTTTTTTTTTAAATACTAATAATAAAATGAGAAAAAAAAATAAAAATAAGGTCAATTATCGGTATTTAATTCATACTTAACACTTACCATTACCATTCTCTAAAATGAATATCTACCTTTGAGGTATTCTTAATTGAAAATTTTATTAAAAATGAGAATAAAATACTTGTTCGGGAACAAGTTCTATGGTCGGTTGATCTATGCCTTTGTGGCTCCCTTTTGGTATGGGTTTTCCATTGAAAACATTTGAATGTAGGTATCAAGATGTGGTGATAGAACCATTTTCTCGATCAATGCAAAACATTCAACGATTAAGTCTTTATAGTTACATAATTTACAACATCATAACCAAACTGATTCCTTCTCAATGTAAAAAAATAACAACTTTTGACTCCATTTTATACTTTTACATCTTGTAGTTTTAATTAGGTTAAAAACGGTAGCAAATAGTATTAATCATCTTGCAAGATGTTGTCCTATTTGAGTTTTTCCTTTCGGGATTCCTCTCAAGACTTTAAAACGGGTTTGCTAAGAGAGGTTTTCACACCCTTATAAAGAGTGTTTTGTCCTCCTCCCCAACCGATGTGGAATCTCACAATCCACCCCCTTTTGGGGTTGAGTGTCCTGCTGAGTCTCGTTCTTTTCTCCAATCGACGTGGAACCTCCACCAAATCCACTCCCTTTTGGGTCTAGAGTCTTTGTTAGCACATCGACTCATGTCACCCCCTTCGAGGCTCAACCCTCCCACTGGCACATCGTCCGATGTCTAACCATTTGTAACAGCTCAAGCCCATCGCTAGCAGATATTGTCCTGTTTGGACTTTCTCTTTCGGGCTTCCTCTCAAGAATCAAAAACAGAAATCAATTTGAACCATGGTCGTTATTGAAGTTGAGAGAGAAGTTTTTTTTATTCACGGCGCAACCTTACCACCATATAAAAGGGAATTGTTGCTGTCGTAGCCTAATAAGTGTGACTTAATTTTAAATTTTAGATTATATTCAAAACTTATATAAGTATAAAATGATAAATTAAAAAAGAAAGTCAAGAAAGGAAGTTGGGGCCAAATATGGGAGGTTGGCTAATAACATAATTTAGATTTTTTTTTGTTAATAAATTCTTCACTCTCCTTGCTTTTATAATTTTATCCATTAATAAATATTTAAAATCTAATTTTCATATTATAAAATTTCACATTTTCCTTTATTTTATTATTTAAAAATTTAAAAATATTTATTTTAATTTCTATCGTTCTAACAATAATAATTTAATTATTGTAATTATTTCTTTCATCAATTCTCTACGCAGTTGAGCGAGTATTGTAATTAGACCTTTAAAGTGATTTGACATGTCTTCAACCGTAGACGCTTCAACTACATGGCTTTAGAGAGAATAGAAAAGTGTTGTCCTACCTCTAATCTCACTTAGAGTTTGAATTACTCTGTAGTCTCGTAGGACAAATGAATTACATTAGTGCGATTTGACTAGCTAAATCCGCCAACGAACAAATCGCTTCCTTGCTATCTTCAAAAAGAAAAGGGCAAACCCGCATCATTCGTCAAGCCTTTGAGCACTTTAGCCAAGCACATCATTTTCTTTATGGACTTACAATAGGTTCTAACTATTTATACATGAACGTGTTCCGTTAACTGTATATGGTGCGCATATGCATGTCATTCTTGTAAAACCAAATACTACTAGAGATCGGTTAGTAACCCGTTAGTAGAATCCAACATTTCATAGCGAGAAAAAAAAGTGAATGGAGTGATATGATTGGTTGAAAATAAGTAGTACAAGTAGGAGAAATATAGGGAATGAAAGCTATGTGCTGCTATGCATGCAAAGAAAAATAAGAAATTAATAAATAAAATAATTAGAGAGAAAGACCAATTAAATTGGTGTCGTGATTACCAATGCCCTCCCCTCAAAAATTTATAGGCAAACAAAATGGCAGGGATTTGACCGTACACCTGCTCAATTTTGAACTTAAAAATGCCTATAAATCCCTCTGTTGCTTCTCATTCACTATTCTCATCTTCACCCTACCTAGTTTTAGAGAGAGAAACAAAGAGGGGCAATTATGGAATGTGGTGGTGCAGCAGGAGGTAGAGATGGCTTCCATAGCTACAGAAGGCAACAACCTAAGCCAACCTCGGGTATTTTCATCTCCAAAATTCCCCTTTTACCCTTCGCTTGCACGTTCTATCTCTACATATATTACGTTTTGGTTTCCATTTGTGACATGCATCAAGATCTCTTCATCTTCATCATTTTTGGTTAGTTTCTATTGATTTAGATTTGCATGTATCAAAAAGCTTCAATTTGCCTTCTCTTTCTAATATCTTAATATTTTCGTACAAAGCTCAACTCGGACTTGAATTTCAATGAAAGAGAGCCATTAGCATGGTACACAGGACCAAAATTGAAACCCTAATTTGAAAACACTGGTCGGTTGATTGAACGTTTGAAAAAAAACTAAGTCACGGTGGATAATTTTTAGACTATTGTGTTGTGTTACATGCCATGGCTCCGTGGAGCCAGAAATTTTTTGTAAATAAATTTAAATTTATAGTTTTTTTTGGTACACGTCTTTAATATAATTTTTTTGTCAGATGTGTGAGTTGGCAGTATTGGTGCGTGGCTAATTAACAAATAAAAAAAGGAAAAAATAATAATAAATAAAGGTTAATATCTATGGTCTTTCTGCCCATACAAATAGTAGAAAACTTCTTGCCCTAATTCAGTCTTTTATTCTCCATAACCAAATAATTAACTTACTTCCTTTTTTTACTCCACTTACTTTTTTCAAGCGTTGGGGCCTGATTGATTATTGGTAGTTAATGTAATGAATATATATTTTAATATTTATTATATGAAAATGAAATAATTATAAAAGATTAAAACATTAAGAATTGAATTAAAACTTTGTAATTATTGAGATTATTTATTTAATTTCGTTTTAATTGGTTCTGTCAATTAAAATCTTAAATTATGCTAAATTGATTTATGAAAATTTAAGCTTTTTAATATTTGTTTGATGAATCTGTATAAAGCATTTGGTTTCAGCTTTGAATGTATTGTTGACCACAAATAAGTCATCCTCTGCCAACAACACTCACAACAGCAACCACCAGCAATCAAATAGTCGAAACGTTGCGGCCAACTCCCCTGTGACTGGCTCTATCCCTGCCTCGATCGCTGCTACCAACAATGAGCAGAGCCAACAATGCATTGTGCGGGAGCAAGACCAATATATGCCGATCGCTAATGTGATACGCATCATGCGACGAATCTTACCCTCTCATGCAAAGATATCTGATGATGCAAAGGAAACCATCCAAGAATGCGTGTCTGAGTACATCAGCTTCATTACTGGTGAGGCCAACGAGCGATGCCAAAGGGAGCAGCGTAAGACAGTAACAGCAGAGGATGTCCTTTGGGCCATGGGGAAGCTAGGGTTTGACGATTACATTGAGCCATTAACTGTCTTTCTCAATCGCTACCGCGAGTCGGAGAGTGATCGAATGCGTACGGAACCGATCCTGAGGCGCAATGTAGATTATGGACCACAAGTCGGGATGGTAACACCGTATGGCCAGACATTTCAGATAGGGCACGTCCCAATAGGAATGTTTGATGCAATGGGCGGGTACTACGATGGAGGTGGCAATGGCGGGTCGAGCTCGGGCAATGGTAGTCAACTTTGATATGAGTTCGAAGTAAAATATGACTATATATATATAATGAATAAATATCAAAAGTAACAAATGATTATAACCCATTTCATTTGTTCTAATATGATGACGATGGGTGGTAGATGCTTTCGTTTGCAGGAACTTATATTTGTTTTTAACTTTTTAGGATCATTGTAAAAAAATGATTAAATCAATTTGAATTTTGTTTCTGTTGTTTTTTTTTTCTTTTTGAATTTTCTATATTAAAAAATTAATAATAATAACATTTATTTTGTTTAACGTTACAAAATAAAATACAATGATATATAGGTAATTATAAACCATTTTAAAAAAAAAATCTTATTTTAAATAGATGAAGAATACAGTTAATTATAGATAAATGTAACTATTTTTTTTTATTTTAGACATTTATACTAATAAGAATACAGTTAATTATATAGACAATTGTCACACAAAAAATCTTATTTTAGACATCGGTGCTAATATGTATATAGTTAATTAGAGACGAATGTCACAAATAAAATTTCATTTTAGACCTCTATACGTCACAAAAAGAATATTATGTTAGACACATGTACTAATAAGAATATAGTTAATTATATAGACAAATGTAACAAAAAGAATCTTATTTTAGACATTTATACTAATAAAAATACAGTTAATTATATATACAATTGTCACACAAAAAATCTTATTTTAGACATATGTGCAAATATGTATACAGTTAAATGATAAATGAATGTTGCAAAAAAAATCTCATTTTAGTTCTCTATACTAATAAGAATACAACCTAATTAATTATGCATCATTGTTAAAAAAGAATCTTATTTTAGACACGTATACTAATGTACTAATAAGAATACAGTTAATTATAGACAAATGTAACAAAAAGAATCTTATTTTAGACATCTGTACTAATAAGAATACAGTTAATTATAGACAAATGTAACAAAAAAAATCTTATTTTAGACGTCTGTACTAATAAGAATACAGTTAATTATATAGACAATTGTCATACAAAAAAATCTTATTTTAGACATCTATGCTAATATGTATACAGTAAATTATACACGAATGTTACAAAAAAAAATCTCATTTCAGACATCTATATTAATAAGAATACAACTAATTAATTATAAATAATTGTCACAAGAAAAATCTTATTTTAGACATATGTACTAATAAGAATACAGATAATTATATACAAATGTCGCAAAAAGAATCTTATTTTAGATATTTGTACGAATAAGAATACGGTTAATTATAGATAAATGTCACACAAAAAATCTTATTTTAGACATATATATAAAAATATAGTTAATTATAGAGAATTGTTATAAAAAAAATTCTTAATTTAGACGTATGAACTAATAAGAATACCGTTAATTACAGACAAATGTCACAACAAAAAATCTTATTTTAAACATATGCACTTAACTATTGACAAGTGTGAAGAAACGCTTTTGTGTTTTCTTTAGTTCGATTTTCGTGATTTGAAGCAGATAGAAGAGATGAGAGTGATATATTGATTAGAATAAGTAAAAAAAAATAACGTGATTATTTGATCTTATATGACCTCATATAAGAATTTATCCCTCTTTTGAGTAAAACGATAAAAGTATGAATTTCACTACGTTACTTATTTGTAAATTTTCTCCTCTATTATAAATTTTTTTCTTCCAATATCCGAAGAACGACTTGGATCAAATCATTTATAACAATTACAAAGAGGAACATAGTTACTTGAAATCTATTTTAAACTTTTTGAAAATCAAGAACAAAATTAATAAATTAAAATAAATAATATAAAATATTAAACAACTATTTAAAATAATTTTAATTAGGTTAGTTCAATTTTTTTTAACATTGAAATATAAGTTTTGAATCTTAAACAATCTATTCACCTCATTTAGTTACCATTTATACTTAGAACTACGGTGAATTTACCTTTAACACTAACAAAGATGCTACTTTAAGCACTTTTGCCAAGCACATCATTTTCTTTATCGATTTACGATAGGTCTTGATTATTTATACATGAACGTGTTCCGTTAACTGTATATGGTGCGCATATGCATGTCGTTCTCGTAAGACCAAATACTACTAGAGATCGATTAGTAACCCATTACGAGAACCCAACATTTCATAGCGAGAAAAAAGTGAGAATGAAGTGATATGATTGGTTGAAAATAATTAGTACAAAGAACGAAATATAGGGAATCAAAGTTCTGTGTTATTATGCATGCAAACAAAAATAAGAAATTAATAAATAATATAATTAGAGAGAAAGATCAATTAAATTGGTGTTGTGATTACCAATGCCCTTAGTTAACACGTTTAATTAGTTCTTAAAAGAATAAATCTAAAGATAATTTAAATGAAAATATAAAAACAACTGTTTTACGTTTAATTAGTTGTTGAAAGTGTTTAAAAATAATTAACATATATTCATACAAAAATAAAATTATCTACAAATTTCTCAACAAAATAGAAGAGAAAGTGATATATTGATGGAAAGAAAATAATTTATTTATTTTCAAATAGGTAAGAAGACGAGAAGATAGAACACAGGATCATAATAAAAAAAAAAATTTGTTGCGAAATTGTATTATATTTTCACTTAAACTTATTTATGGTGTTGACCCAATTATTATATTCTGTTTATTTACATCATAAAATATATTAAAAAGTAGTTGAAGTAAAAGAAATTTATTAGACTTGCATTGAAATATGAGCGTTGAAAAACTGATTTACATTTATAAACCAAGTGGATGACATGCATACTCAAATTCGTTGACATAATTTATTGTTTCTTTCAAAAGCAATGAATATCTGTTTTAATCGTTCTGTTTTAAAACGGATATAATGAGTTGTTGACAAGTGTTGAACAATAAATCTAAATTGAGTAGGATCGAAAAATATAAATCTGACCGTTGCAACTTTTATTGAGTTGTTGATAAGTGTTGAAGAATAAATATCAAATCTCATCATTTATTTCTTACTTCCTTTCTTATCTTTAGCCTAACAAACGAGTGAAGAGTAAATAAAATATTCAAATAAAGTAATAATTAAATAAAAATAATTAACTTATTTAGTAATTTGCGTGCAAAAAGCAAATCACAAATTTCAACTATTTCTGATTTGGGTTTAATATACAAAAGTCCATGGGTTAACCGATAAATTCATGTTTTTTTTTTCTTTAGCCCAACTCATTACCCAATACCAAGTCATTAGCCCTAATTTTTTGTTTTTTAACTGGACTCAAATCCAAACCTATTTACATGAGAAAATACAGGTTAGCATCAGCTTTCAAGATAAATTGCAGTATACATGTACGGTCTTTAATGCATGTTGCAGTCATACAGTGTACATCTATAGTCTTTGATGGCAGGTTGCAGCCATGCAGTGTACCTGCAGACTGCCACGACGTAGTATACATGAACAACCTCAATGGTTGGCAGATTGCAGCCATGTAGTACGTACATGCAAATTATAGTCATGTAGTGTACATGTATAGCCTAATGGGCAGATTGGAACCATGAAAGTGTATATGTACAACCAAATGGGTAGATTGTAGCCATGTTGTGTATGTACAATCTTTGTCTGCCTTCAAGAAAGATTGCAACATGCGTGTATAAGTTCAAGGGCGAATTGCAGTCCTGCAGTGTATATGTACAGCGTTCAACGACAGATTGCAATCTTGTAGTGTACCTGTACAACCTTCAACGACAGATTGCAACCTGCAGTGTACCTATACAGCCTTCAACAACATATTGCAACCCTACAGTATACATGTACAACCTGCATGCAATGTACATGTACCGCCTCATAGACAGAATGCCGACATGCAGTTTATTTGTACAGCCTCAAGGGGGCGGATTGCAGTCATGCAATGGAGTGTACATGACAGCCATCAAAGGCAGATTGTAGTTACGCAGGTACGCAGTGTACATGTACACTATACATTGTGTCCTTTATGAAATTTCGAATCACAACCACTGCAAACCATGTGATACATTTTCTTTTCCTTTTCATTTCTTAGTTCTTTTCTTCCTCTTTTTGTGATATTCATGTTTTATCTAAGATTTTTTTGCAGCTCGTTGACGGCCCTACACCAACTCCATTCACGGGTTTAGCGTCGCCTTCGCCATTGCCTTCTCCATTATCAGGTTCAAGTTTTTCATTCATGAGTCTAAGGTTTTTTGCAGCTTGCTGTTGGGCCTATGCTAACTCCATTCACGGGTTCGACATCGCAATATCACCTTCGGCATTCTTAGTTTCAAGTTTCTTATTCATGGATTCGACATTGCAGCATTGCCTTCTCTAGTCAATTCTCGGGTTCAGTGGTTAGTTGGCTTTTGGGTTGAGTCTTGACTTTCGTCTTTAGCACTTGGTAGTTGGTTGTCTAGGTTTCATTGACTCGTGCTTAGCACTCTACTCTGTCTAGGCTCGCAGAGTCCGTGGTCTTCAGCACTCTGGGTGAGTCCGTCATCTTTAACACTCGATGATCCGTCCTCTTCAACTTTTTATAGTTTTTTTTTGTTTAATTTATTTGTTGAAAATATAAATTCAAATCCTCCACAAAATATGATAATCATACTCTTTACTTTTATTTATTTGTTTTTGTTTAATTGTGTCATTTTAACAATTCTCTTATTCCAAACCTATCGAAAGTTAGTTATTGACCCATATAGTTATTCATATACTAACAATAATTTTTTTTGAATGTATGTATAAATAAACAATTTTATTCCGTATACTAATAATAAAATTTGTTTACACATAACAAAGGTGATATATATATATATATATATATATTAATTATAGAATTTTCACTCTCGTAATATTAAAATATATTTATCCAGATAACTTTTAATTAGATAAATGTGTATCAATATTTATTTTATGTTGAATTTATTAATTAAAATATTATAATTTTTTTTGTTAGTGGATTTGAAAATAATATTTAAATTTAATATTATAAATATTAATATTATTATGGGTTGATTTGAAATTTAAATTGATTTTAAAATAATTTTCAAAGATTAATATATATATATATATTAATTTTATGGCATCATTCATTATAGATAACTAATAAAAAAATTTATTAAAAAAAATCATAATCATTTCATTTGTTTCATAATTATAAATTTTGAATAATTAATAAAAATGGGTCAATATTCTATAAAAAACGATTTTAATTAATTAATTACCTTTTGAAAAAGCTTTCACTACACGAAAATTTGAGTATTATCATTATAATATATGGGTTGACATTGTGTTACTATTAGTCATAATTAATTTAGATTTTAAAAAAAATTATTTATTTTTTAAAAATACTATTATTATGAATACATTTAAGTTTTGGACCAACAAAAAAAATTGAATTAAAAAAAAAAAACTATTATTTAAAAGGTTTTTTAGATATTCTATAAAAAAAATTCAAACAAAGGTATATTTATAAATTTCATCTTTGATATAGTTGAGTGAAAAGTTATAAATCTTATTTTATTATTTATAAAAAATTATAAGTTTTAATACAATAAAGAGTAAATTTAAAGATTTAAAATTGAGTTTAAGTGAGGCGTGAATAAAGACCTCCGTTTCCATATCACCTTATTTCAATTTTTATTTTGCAAAATTTTTATGATTAAAAAAGAGATTTAAGAATGGAATCGTCTATAATAAATTTTTTTCCATCATTTTATATACTTTTTAAAAAAATATTTTTTTTAATGAATAATTTTTATTTTTAATATAATTTATGTAAGAATTCTAATAAATTTAATAATATCTAACCAAAAATATAATATAATAGTTTAACGTTAAAACACATTATCCCATATTTAATATATATATATGTATAAAAAAATAAATATAGAGGGATGGAAGTTTTAAAAAAGTATTAAAAATTGAAATTTGGACGACATTTTCATAAAATTTAAGAAATAAATCTTCCTCATTTTGATTGCAGTAAATAAATAAATAAACAATTACAGCTGTAAAAATCCCATCCAAGTAGTCAAAACTACAGCCGCCAGATAAAACTCCCCGCCATCAACTCTAACGGCAGAGTTTCCATCGCCGTCACCGTCATGATCCGCCGGAGAGTAATCAGGAGATTCCGCGGACGGCGGAGACGACCCCATATCCGACCGACTCTTGACCTTGGCCGACGCCGGCGCCACCGCATGGACACTAAACAACTCATCGGGTTCCAAAACACAATCAACCAAAAAAATAGCCAACGGAGCTTCATCGAAACCAGTCCCACCGACCTTAGCCGTCACGACGCTGGTCAAAATCGTTACATCCTGGCCGTCATTCTGCACCGTGAAATCAAATTTATCGGCACCGTCGGTGGCCAAGGTGTTGGTGACGCCGTTATTGGACTTTAGAACAGGCAACGGCATATAAATGGGAACGGCGTGGAATTCGAGGAGAGAGGTTTTGGCGGGAAGAGTCAGGTTTTTGAATTTGGACGAAAAGTTGTCCCAAACGACGTCGCTTGGGCAGAAGACCGTCAAGCCGCCTTGGACGACGTCGTTGAAGGCCTTTTGGGCAGTGGAATTGGCGAGGGCTTGGGCGAAGGCTGTGCAGCCGGCGGTGGAAAGCAAGAGCGTGAGATTGAGTTGGGTCGGGTCGTGGGTAGTCGGAGCCGGAGCCGGAGCCGGAGCCGGAGGGAGGATTGAACTGGTGGGTTGGGAGTTGAAGAGAGAAGGGAATAAGAGGAGGAAGATGATGAAGGGATACATTTTTGGGTGTGTGAGGAAATTAGTGGGAAATTTGTGGGTTTTTTATGGGATTTGAAATGAGTGATCGTAAGCTTGAAGCAATAATAATGAAGCACATCTTAATCAATGGATCCTCATGCATACAATTCCACGCCAAATTATTATGGGTATTATTATTTAACAAACTTTTTATTTATATTAGACGAATCCGACTCTCCACATCCACAGTGGTATGATATTGTGGTTTGGACTTTCCCAGCAGGCTTAATATTCTTTGATTATAAACTCATGATCATTTACTAAATTAGTCGACGTGGGACTTTCATCCAATACCTCTCCTCGAAAAAAGTATGCCTCCCCTTAATCGAGGCTCGACTCCTTTTTTCTTTTGGAGTTTTAGTCATTTTTTACTATGCCTTCGACTTTTTCTTTTGGAGTCCTTTGTTCGACATTAGAAGATTCTATTGGCATGACTAAGTTTAAGACATGACTCACGACTCTCTACAATGGTATGATTTTGTCCACTTTGAGCATAATGCTTTGGGCTTTTCCAAGACCAATGGAGAGGATTTTTCATCGTCCAACTTTTTACAAGTCTCTATCTATTTGATATATTATATAATTTCATTTCATTTTTAATAAGTTTATATATTAAAAAAGAAGTATAAGAGCATACGTAAGTTTAAAACTCTATTATTTACTATATTATTTTATTGATATAAAGGATAAGTTGGTAAATGTAATTGTAAATAAAGAAAGGGCAAAGTCAAAGGATGGGAGGGAAAATATTGATTACTTCAAAGAAGAGTAAACCAATGGAAAATTAAAAAAATTAAAAAAAAATACTTTAAAATTTTTAAATTTTCATTAATATCCTTGAAACGTCTAAAAAAAATTAATTTTTTCTTTTAAACTTCAAAAATGTTGCTCAAGAACAATGGCTTGAGTAATATCGAACCCAACGAAGTAGACGATGGAAAGCTCTAAACTCGAATGGCGAGATCAAGGGCTGAATAAGAACCTGAAAGAAGGGGTAGGAGTAGACGATGGCAAAGATCAGACAGTCAAGGTCATGATTCATCGTCGGGTTTTATTTTATTTTAATTTTTTCTTCAAAAAAAAAAAATCATAAATTATGTTTTGAGAGAGTAAAGAATTGTTTGAACATCCAAATGAATATTAATAGTGATGAACAATTGTTGTTTTGATTACAGTAAGTGAAAGGGTTAAAACTATGTTACGGGTCAGTGGTCAGTGCTCATCATTCTAATGAAAGGGAGAAAGTTATTCCAGTTTTCTAACCTAAAAATCTTGTCATTCATTCTGAAAAACGTGAAGGATTTAACAACTGCTGCTAGTGGACGGCAACAATTGTAATGAATTTGCCAGAATCCATCCTGCAACCAACACAAAATTCATCAAAACACACAATTTTGCACACAAGGGAACCACAAAACTCGCTGCATTTACCTTGTCGAACCGCTCGTTCGTGTTCCTCCCGGTCAAATGAATGACATTTTGCTCTGAAGTTCCCACAATCTGTTTGAGTAATCTTTCTGGACTGCAGAAACAGGATGCTGGTGTTTCACTGTCCGCCATTTCTAAGCAGCTGCAAATAAAAACTCAGATACATGAACCATCTAAGAGGAATGTGTATAACAGTTTTGAGGGCAGAATCTTACGGAATGTGTAACGCTGCACCATGTCGGGACAGCATTGACGTAACAGGATCGTAACCGTCCCTGCTTTCGGTATTGTAGTAACCAGCAGTAAGTTCTGCGGGATGAGATACTGTGTTGTACCACCAGTATATACCACCAAGCTTAGCCACTAATATAACAGAAGGCAGATTGTTTTTCTTATACTTTTTCAACAATTGAGCTGCCTTCTCAAGAATAGCATCTGCATGATGAATCAATCTACCACTATACCATTCCTACAAACAACTTTCTGCTATGTAAGCTACGAATAACAGATCGAATTTCGTGCGTTTGAAAAAAACTTTCGTACGTTAATACGTACAAGGAAAAAGTGTCCGTAATCAGAGAGAAAGTTTTCGTCTCCCTCTTTGAAGAAAGGAGCAGCAGAAAGGGAGCTATTGTAGCCGCCAGCATTCTGCGGTCCTCGCTCGCCCCATTGAGGCTTGCCTACACGGCATGCGGCCATCTTCAAGTCGTCCATCCTAAATGAAAACTGAAAGTTAGGATTGAAAGAAAGCCATGATTATAATGAAAAGCTTCTGACTTACATGTATTTGTCATAGCATTGAAACTCGCCAATGCCGGGAAATCTCCATCTACCATCTTCAAAAGGATGTGCAGGGTACCTGTAAAAGGTTAAGCTCTCAAGCAAAACCATTGAAATTCTAGTTCAGATATCAATAAAAGTACCTAAGCTCTCCAGAAGGGCCAAGACCAATGCTTATTTCCTCTATCAAATCTCCAATTAAGTGATCAAATTTGTTAACAAAGCTTAATATGAAGTCACCATAGCACTCGAGCGCAGTTCGGCCAGAAAAGAGAGGAAAATTATCCACTCCTAGAGTAAGGTAATCATCATTGGACATTCCCTTTTGATCTTGATAGTATATATCTCTGTTGTGAGCACCAATCTAAGCCACCAATGAATAATAGTATGATATCATTTGATCTTGATAGCATTGAGATTGTAAAAGTTCATTCAACAAATCTAAGCCGTTTCAATTCAAACTAACCTCCAGAATCCACTGTGGAAGACTCACACCTTCTTTTCCTCTAAATGTCGAGCGCATGTTCGAATGAAACGACAAGGCAGCATGCAATTTCAATCCACAGTCAGATACCAATTTGAAAAGGTGTTCATAAAGAAACCAATCGTATGACAAAGGAGAGAAACGCTCTACAACTCCCCACCAAACCTCCACTGCTACTCCATGTACACCAGCTACCTTGAGTGCATTCAGGGACGCTCTTATGGCCTTGAATCTGAAGCAACAAGTGAGTAACATCTTAACTATTTCTCCAAGCCCAAAGTTTGGAACAAAAATTTGAAGATCGGCACATGAAACTCAAGAATAGATCATAATATATTCATGTTTTTCTTCATATTGTTTTGCAAATCAACAGCATAACAGATGAGATAGTGAGTATCAAGGGGCTTACCTAGGAATCCTCATTTTCCCAGAAGGACCCGTTTCAAAAACATCGACAGGCAGCATCATAAACACTGGGACTTTGTTGCGTCTTGATGAATTCACTATTTTTGATCTTGATTTCTCCCGGGCTTCCATTCTGAAAAAACACCATCGATAATGTGACAGGAATTAAGATATCCCTTGAAGTACAGGATCCCAACTAAAAATTACTTATACAGCTATCCTAGTTTCTACGAGCTGATCGCAATGTTCTTAGCTTCAATGTTCTTAGCAACAATGTTCTTAGCTTCAGTGTTCTTAGCAACAATGTTCTTAGCAACAATGTTCTTAGCTTCAATGTTCTTAGCTTCAATGTTCTTAGCTTCAATGTTCTTAGCTTCAATGTTCTTAGCAACAATGTTCTTAGCTTCAATGTTCTTAGCAACAATGTCATTTATCATAAAAAATTCTTGTTCATTCTAGTCAAGCAACCACTAACATAATGGAACCTACTTGAACTATGAAGCAAAACATAAAAAAAACTTACAGTATCAAGAAATAAAACATGCAAATGTCTAAATAGTGCACAATCTTGTATATCCTCTAGAATCAGTAAAAAAAGAGAGAGTTTGAGATGGCTTATGATTATCTAACCCAAGATCTTGAAAATTTTGAAAAGATCTTTGAATTGAATAAAGAACTTTTCACATTCATACGAATTTCAATCCCTGTCTTCAAGAAAGACAAAACGAAGCACAAATTCTACATCTGTAATGAAACTGAGACAAACAGCAGCAACGAAGAACAGTAATCGATCTCAAGACTCGCAAAGAAAGAATTCAAGTGATGAACACAAGAACTTCAAGCTTTCCGTAATTAAATTCAAAAGAAACCCCCATTTATCATCATAACAGTAACAAACTTCTAATCTTCGCCTCAACCCCTCCAAATCAACTGGAAGGGCTTCTTAATAAGAATTCCCCTCATTATGAAACGAACACAACAAAATCACCAAAGAAAAAATTATACCGGATAATGCGATTGTTGCGCGCAGTCAATCGCCGTCTATCGACAAAACCATTCCTAAAGAATGGAATAGTCGAAAAACTCGAAAGATTCTTCTTGATTATCTGCTTCCCCTGAAACCTAGCTTCTCCAGGAAAACAGCTCCCCATTTCTCGGCACCTGCACACCACTCCCCCACTCTCCACCGTAGCCATCGCAAGAGAGAGGAAAGAAGAGAAACGCGAGAATTCTTCGACTGATCTGCAGAAATGGAGTAATGGATTGAGGCTTTGAAATCATATGATACTGATGGTGGGGAGTGGAACTAATATAGTCGCATTTTCCAGTGAAAGATCAAGAACGAGACCGATTTTCCGTTGCGGTTGTAACAATTTGAACATGGGAATTCGTTATGAAGAACACGAACCGATTACAAAAATCTAACGAACAGAAGTAACTCTGAACGATCTTTTATTGGGAAATCGGATTAAGACTTCAAATTTTGGTTTTGTGATTCTATATACGATCTTTTATTACGCTCCACTTGTCAATAAAAATCAAGAAAAAGTAACTCTCAGAAAATAATAATAATAATAATAATAATAAAACGATCAAATCGAATGTGATTTTTATGAAGCGTTCTTAGAGATTATGTTTATTAAAAAATTAAAAAGAAAAAAAAAGTTGTACCGTTAAATTTTGCAGTTAAATCCCTAAATTATTTTTAAAAACATATTGATTAAAACCATGGATCAATTTAGACTCTGGAATAAGATTTTGTATTATAATTAACAATATTCTTTCACATTTGTTATAAGTCATTATAAGTTAAGATTATAATTATTAATTTAGGATTTTAATTGGTATGTAAATACATAAATTATTTTTTTTCATACAGAAAAATAAATTTGGAAAAAAAATTAGTGGAGAGAAAATAATTTATGTTATGTTTTTTTTCAGAATTTCATTCAAATTTTGAAAATTAAAAAATAAAGTAGTTTTCAAAATTTTATTTTTGTTTTTAAAATTTAACTAAAAGTTTAAATGTATTAAATTATTATAAAAAAGATTTTTATGAATAAAAATTACCAAAATTTATTAGGAGTGTACATGGATCGGGTTGAATCGAATTAAAATTTTTTTTGGATTGACCTAAAAGTTCGAGTTCGTTAGATAGACTTTAGAGGTTTCTTCCGATGGTTCAAGATTGGTAAATATATGGAATGATAAATGAAAATCAACAAACTTCAAAGATCTACTGTTAGATCAAAGAGAACATAAAATGGTTTCATTCATTACCATAACTCATTGTTTAATTAGAAGAATAGGTCAAGTTAGAAGCCGAATGTTGTTCCTCACGACGCTTCTCATCATACGAGTGGACGACTAGACGACTGGCGTGGCAATTGGCATGGATGACAATGGATAGAGGTTGGACGACCATGCACTGATGCCAACATGGACAATAACATATGAGACAAATAGAGGCTAGCTATACGACAACACTGATAATGATGAGGTTAGCATTAGATCACGAATGGAGGCTAGCAACTAACATGGAATCGGATCATTAGACATGGATGGAAGCTAGTGATGAGTGAGCGACGAGTGTGGTGTCAAATCACGAGACACAGATGGACATCGTTAGATGGAGGTATGCGGCTGCTGGGTTAGTCCTGGGCGCACGTACTTTAGAAGTGTTGGGTCAGGTTGGGTTAACCCGACTAGACGCCCCCTTAAACTTGAAACCCACCTGAACTCATCTGTTCGTAAAACTATAAAACAATCCAATGCGAAAATCAATCAAACTCAACCCAACCCTTATAATTCGGATGGGGTCTTTTCAAGTTATCGAGTTGCCGGATTCTTTGTGCACCCCTAAAATTTACAATAATATGAATTGTCTCTTTGAAAATATTATATTCAATAGAAAAGAGAAAATCGTTGTCTGAATGACTGGTATTTTTATTAAATATTACTAAATTAAGATTAAAAGTAATAATCAATTCTTCAATTATTTAAACTATAAGTTTAGTATAATTTTATTTAGTTTAAGCATTAATTAATCATATTATTGAGTAATGGCCAATATTAATAAAGTTGTAATTAAGATTAAATGAAATTTCCAACGTGGCATGAGTTATCCCAAAATGGATAAGAGGAGAACTATCTATCAACGTGGCAGCGTCACCCATGATTGGCCGCGTCTCCATCAATCAACCCCTTCCCCTTTACTCATTTCTCACTTTTACTAAAATAAATAAATAAATAGTCCGACAAATAAGATTTTAAATATAGACGACAATCAAATATTGAATAAATATCTATTTATTTTATCATACTTTTTATAATACAACGAAATAACGAGACATTAAATCTATGACATAGTTTAAATTAATATAATTATATTTATTTAAATTCTAGATTTAAAAAATTAATTAAATGAAAAGCTGTCGAAAAAATAATAAAAAAAAAAAGTGAAGAAAATCTCAAAATTGCCCTCTAAGAAAAATATAAACAAGCCATAATAATAATTTAAGTTTATATAAATTCTATAATTATGAATTTAAATACATTTTATGAAATACTTTACCTCATATTATTTGTCTAAGTCAACTATATTTGGATGGCTAAAATGGAGATTTCGCAGATGCAGTCGCCTGGATGGTGATGGTGGCCCATGTACTATTTATTGAGCCGGGCCCAATAAAATCCAATGGGCTAAGCTAGCCATCTAGTTGGGCCGACCCGTAGAATTAAATGCAGGCCCATCCCAACGTGGCCCATTAGAACCATAAACACTTGGAGGCATATTCATCGTCATCATCGTTCCCATCCCACCACCAAATTCAGCGCCGCCATCAAAATACGCACTATTCGCAGCTGTAGAAGCGGAAGCGCTACCGCCGTCGCGCGAGGCGAGCGTAGTCTTCTCGCCTTCAATTTCTCGAAAACGCTGGAGGTAAACCTTGAGAGGATCGACGTAATCTTCGAACCCTAACGTCGCCATGGCCCAAAGCAAATCGTCGCCGTTGATCGTCTTTCGCTTCTCCTTATGGCACTTGTCGGAGGCCTCGCCTGTGATGAAACTGATGAACTCCGAGACGCATTCTTGGACGGTCTCTTTGGCTTCCTTTGAGATTTTCGCGTTCCCTGGGAGGGCCTTCTTCATAATCCGGCCGACGTTCGCGATTGGGAGGAGTCTGTCGTGCTCCCGCGGCGACGGCGATTTCTGGTTGCCGCCGGCGGAGTCGTTGTCGGAGTCCGCCATGGAAGAAGGAGATTTGGGCTTTGATGCGTTCTTGGTGATGAAGGAATATGGGAAATCGAAATCTGATTTTTGTAGAAGTTGGATAGTTGTAAAGTTTCAACCAATTAGGCCGTAAACACTCCATGATTAGAATCGAAATTTGTTTTGAAATTTCTCATAAAAAAATTAATCTATATTTTTAATTTAGTATTTCTTTTTACTTAAACGTTTTAATTTTTATCGTTTATAAACATATTTGCTCCGTAATAAATTTTTTGAGCCCACAATTATGTACCGAATTCTTTGAGGGTCTTTCTTTTATCCATTTCCGTAGTGAGTGGAGTTAGGTACAAAATTGTTCCTCTCGAAAAGGAACATTAATTGTACTTTATTGGGTCGACATCGACACTGAGAGACAAAGGTAGGGGAACGAACTTTGTTGGGTTGGCATCGACACTGAGAGACGAAGCTAGGGGAATGAACTTTGTTGGGTCAACATCGTCACCGAGAGACGAAGCTAGGGAAACGAACTTTGTTGGGTCGACATCGACACTGAGAGACGAAGTTAGGGGAATGAACTATGTTGGGTCGGCATCGACATTGAGAGACGAAGCTAGGGGAATGAACTATGTTGGATCGGCATCGACATTGAGAGACGAAGCTAGGGGAACGAACTTTGTTGGGTCGACATCGACACTGAGAGACGAAGCTAGAGAAACGAACTATGTTGGGTCGACATCGACACTGAGAGAGGAAGCTAGGGGAACGAACTTTGTTGGGTCGGCATTGACACCGAGAGACGAAGCTAGGGAAACAAGCTTTGTTGGGTCGACATCGATACTGAGAGACAAAGCTAGGGGAACGAACTTTGTTGGGTCGGCATCGACACTGAGAGAGGAAGCTAGGGGAACGAACTTTGTTGGGTCGGCATTGACACCGAGAGACGAAGCTAGGGAAACAAACTTTGTTGGGTCGACATCGATACTGAGAAACAAAGCTAGGGGAACGAACTTTGTTGGGTCGGCATCGACACTGAGAGAGGAAGCTAGGGGAACGAACTTTGTTGGGTCGGCATTGACACCGAGAGACGAAGCTAGGGAAACAAGCTTTGTTGGGTCGACATCGATACTGAGAGACAAAGCTAGGGGAACGAACTTTGTTGGGTCGACATCGATACTGAGAGATGAAGCTAGAGGAATGAATGAGATTAGATGCTCCAGTAGCCCTAGCCGTAAATACTTTTTACTATCTTATTTATTTAAATTGAAAGTATATGAATTTTATTACCAATAAAGTTGGCATATTTTTTATATTTTGATATTTTTATTTTACAGAAAAAACATATCAATTTATATTTAAATAAAGCTACAAATATATATATATATATATTATTTGTTTTATTAATATTAAATTTTTAAAGATGTGGAAAGTTCCAAAATTTTAATTATGAAAAATGATCAACTAAGCATGCGTGGCTATAACATATGGGTGGCCCCCACCACCACTTTCAATATTTTTTTTGCCGTCTTCCCTTCAATTGGCCACCACAAATCAAGTGCTCCATTACTTTTAAGTGGGTATTTTTGTCTTTTTCATCATTCCTTTTTAAATATTTTTTAAAATGTTATTGGAACAAATTAATAATATTAAATGGGATCGGAGATTCGTGTGTTGTACTACTAAGAAATCGTATGTTATAATATCTGAATTAACTATGTGATGCAACTACTTCCTTTTATGTTTGATGTTCATTATCATTACTATGTTGATATGGCCGTGTTTATGCGTTGCAAGACACCATGATGTACTACGTATGATAGACGAGCAAAATATCATGAATATGTATGGTAAGAAATTTATGACATGATAAGTATTATGTACATCATCCCTCATGATACATATTGTATGTAATATGATCATGGATTACTTTAACATGGGCATTATTAACGTTCCCTTCTTTTCCGTTGATCTTTAGCAACATAAGCGTGTGCTACATTAATAAGCTCACCTAATGAACTCATGTGCACATGGAACTAGTACTACAAATCCAACTATAACCGAAAAAAAACCTAAAGCCTAAAGAACAGTCAACTAATACCCACCCCTAAGAAAAATATAAACTAATTAAGAAAGAATATTAAGATAAATATCTAAGATATATTCCATAAATAATATATTTTCTGAATATGGCCGGAAGTCGAAAAACTCCTCCTTAATGGTCAGTTAATATATCCATGGAATTATTCCCAACAGTATTTATAAGTCAGTATAAAGAAACTGCAATATTTGCAACTATGAGCAACAGCTAATCTCGTTTCTAATTAAAACACTAATCTCTCATTAGCAGTAAACATGGTTGACACAGACAAATAAATTACATCCACCTTTACAACAGACTCACTGATTTTGAGGGCGTTCATATATGTTGTTAGACAAATCCCAGGGCCAACTCTTGGCAACTCAAGTTTCCACCTCTTGAGCGGCCTGTTTTCCATCCTTCTCGGCATTGGCGTCGCCTTCGCCGTCCTCTTCGTCTTCTGCTTCATCTGCCAGTTTCGTGAGCTCTTCTTGGATCATAAGTTTTATCGACGACTTTTGTGCGGTGAGATCCATCTTGAATTGCCCAGCTGAGAAATCACAAGCAGATCAGGAGGGACATGTTTGAAAATGGTTCTCAATATGGAATACTCTATAAGAACACTTGATAGGTGTTCTATTTTTCTTTCTTCCAAATTGTACTACGTTGAAAAGGGTAAATCTCAAACAAGTTAGAAAATCAGATCAATTGATTCAATGATCTCTATATTTTTCATCAATCAATGGAAAATACAACCATTTCTACTATTTGTTTGAAGATATCTCCAATGGTGGTGATCAAGAAATACAATACTCAAACTTGTATAAAGGATAAGTTCAACAAACCACAAAATGTCCAAGTAGATAAGAAACGTACCAAGTTGCTTTAGAATGTCGGTGAAGGTGGCCTGCATATTCGAAAAACGAGCTACGCGTTATTTTGTGATTACAAAATGTGGCTAACATTTACTATCAGAACTAAAAGCATAAAACATAATATTCCTTAGACACGGAGATTTTTAGAAACTAAGGCTAGCGAAAACAGAAACTCTTATGTTATTCCATCCTCAGTTTATTTGTCCTTCTCCGTAACTCTAAATCATTCATCCTTCAAAGCCAACAATTTCTAGAACCGCAACCATTGCCTTACCAACCATCTTTTGTATTGGCTTTTTGAGGCTTCTATTGTAGAACACTTGAACCAGTGAACAGGCAGCTGTTAAAAGTCATAATATGTTGCACTAACACAAGAAAGAATCTAATAGCTCATATATGCATTTATTTAATCACAAATGTCCACATGAGAAGGGAAGATCAAGTGACAGTTAATGCTTGTAAACTCATGATAGCAGTTCGAAAAACCACCAGAAATGCATGAATCTCCAACAGCCAGAAAATCATGCTCAAGTACAGCTAAATATTAAGTATTGAAGTAAGCTGATCAACTAAACTTTAAGTAGCCAGTATGAATACAGTGACACTTACCGTAGTGAAGTCAACTACTTTAAGAATTTCACATATTGCATCCCTAAGCACATCATCGCTTGGCCTTGTTTTCTCCTCCTTGGTCTTGTCCTTCCCTTTCGTAATCTTCTTCCCTAAAACATACACCAATGGCGTAAATAACGCAGAAAAAGAACACAGCGTCCATTATCCCTTAGGGTCCCAAACTGATTGAAGTAATACCAGAAGCTCAGAAGATTAATAATGAAAAGCACACAAATTTTCATTTTTATGTCCCAAGCAAGAAAAGAATAGAACAAGAAGACGAACAAAACATAACAAACAAGTTGAAAGAGATATGACAGGTACCAGGCTTCTCCTTGGCAGCAGATTTTGGTGGAGTTGAGGCCTTGCTTACTTTTTCGCTATTCTTCTTCCTAGAGAATACCTTAGGACTATCGCTGTCATCAATCTTAGCACGACTTGCTGATGACCTCTTCGATGTTGATTTTGCTGAATCGGTTTTATTGGAACTTGTAACTTTCTTGCTTCTTGCTTTTCCTACAGATCCCCTCTTTCTAGATGAACCTTTTGAACTTGATCTGGGTTTTTCTTCCTCAGACTCATCAGTTGGGTCATTGATATCTTCACTTTCTGGCTGCTCGGACATTTCATCATCAGATTTTTCTGTGGTTCCATTCTCATTTTCCTTGTCATTTTCTTCTTCTGCTTCCTTCTCTTCTTCTGACTCACCATCTTCATCACTAGTATCTCTTGTCATCTCAGATCTTGCAGTATTTCCTCTTTTTCTACGACTCTAGAGTCAACCCAGAAATAAAATGAAATAAATAGTTAATATAAACAATAGATTAAAATACAGCACTCCAAGCACTACAAGAGACCAAGTATCCCCAGTTTTTCTTCAGAGGTGCACTCTTTATTCAGAGAGACCCATTGTATGCCCATCTACTGTTTAGCTAATACAAAGTGAGACCCATTTTCACAGACACAACACATTCTACCACACCCCCATAAAACTAGCTCGACTTGATCCACTTGCCTGACTTCCTTCTAGCACGTGTACAACGCACTGGAGGCAAGGAATCCTTATCATAAAGTCTTAAAAAGGATAAATAACAAGAGGAAGTGACATCCAAAGAAAAGTAATAACATTGAATTCTCCACAGAGAGAAATGAGGGAAGTAATACGTGGATAGGTAAGGTTAAAGTGATGCCACAGCAAGTAAATAACTGTTGCTTCTCCCCAAGGTATAGCCACAGAAACAGTATTCTAAAGGAAAAAAAAATACCTTTATTTAGAAATCCTTTGAGCACATCAAATAGGCAAGGTTAAAAAGATGCCAAATCAACAAAAAAAAAAAAAAAAAAAAAAAAAAAAAAAAATCAAAGAGAAGTGAGAAACCAATATGTGGATATAGCTCCAAATCAAGGCCAGCCATAAGGGCCATGACAACAGACAAGGTCGGGCTAGAGAATTGACTATCCTGTTATTGCTTCAATTCCGTACCTACGAACCAGAATCTAAAACAAGCTTGAATGATCTATAAATCTTTTAACTTTGGAACTCATACTATGAAAGTAGTTAACTATAGTTACAACAAGGTGGAGAACGACTCCACATAAGAGCTAAAAGGTAGTGGATTCAAAGATGTCGAAGTTTTGGATCTTATTTCTCGAAGATTAGAGCATTCTGATCCTTCAAAGTGGTCACAAGAAAGCCCGAGCAGTGTTGGTCCAAAGAATCCTTCTGTCCTTAAACAGGTGGCCCAAAGATAAGGGAGAAGAAAATTAATTCAAAACTTCATCTAAAAGCACTATAGATGAAGTTTTTGTTTCTGTTACTAGAATTTCTCAAACTATTTTAATTATTGAAAATTTTTAATTGGTTAAATGAATTCTTTAAAATTTTAACCAACACTACCCATTTTTATCCAACGAAACTGTTCCCTATCCAAAAAGAAAAAAGTAGTCAAACGCTACCAAGCATTAAAAATACGCTTTTGTCTTCCCTAAGCACTTTAAAAGACGTCAAACACACAAAATCCTTTTCTCTGAATCATGAAGACAAGGGCGTCACTGGCAGGAAGTGATAAAGAGGGCACAATTCAAAGACTTTCCAATGAATGCATCAAACATTTCCTAAAATACAGAATTTCAAACATTCATTTTTTTTCTTTGATGAAAAACTGGAATTACAAAAGGGAATTAACAAGGGGCTCCCCCCCAAACCAAGAGAATCAAACCAAGGGAAGAATTTCAAGCATTCATGACCAGATGCTAAATTAACGGCAATAATTTTCCTAAATTTTGAAATACAGGGCGAGTAGGGTAAGTATTCAAAACAAACGATTTTCTTTCAAAAATCAAAAGAAAAGAAATAAGAAAATATCTTATCATGAAGACCAACATAACTCAGCAACTTCCTCAGGCATCTGAAGGCTGAAAACAGAAGATACCATCTCATTTATACTTGAGCTACCTAACTAGTACGGAACATAAAGACATAACAGGAGAATTTAAAGATAAAAAAACATTCAAGGTGTGAATTAAGATGGGTATAAACAAGGCCTAGAAGTAATTCACCAATTATACTCCCAGAGAGAAAAGAATGCCACCTTTGCCGACTGTTTTGAACTATTGTCTCCAGGAGTTGATATTCCTCCTTTTACAGTCCTTTTACGCTTTTTACCCTTGCTTGACTGTAATTAACCACATCAAAATTTCAGAAACTAGATCCAGATTTTGGGTAAATATAAAGGAAGCATTTGATTGGGAAGATTGAGCTTGTTTGCAATCAGGAGGGGTATAACCTTTTCTATTTCTGCAAGGAGAACAGTACTTGTAGCATGAGGAGCCATTAAAAATTCTATGAGCTTGCCAATAACATCTTCCTGAATCAAGACAAAAAAAATAACATCAAACTCGAGCAATGAAAAACTATATATATGTTCTTAATAAAAACCCAAGTTTTCAATGAGAAAAAAATAAAAGGAAAAATAAGGGGGTATACAAAAAGGAAAACAGGCTCACAAAAGGAGTCTTCAACAAATTACAAGAATGGATTCCAATCCAAAAGAATAATCCTGAACTGATGGTTACAAAAAGAACGATTCATAGATGGTCCATCATGAGGACACATTAACTCACAACCTCGCATACTCGAAGATTCTCCAACCCCCTAAATTTTCTACAATTCATCCCGAGCCGCACTTCCCATAAAATAGCAAAAAGCAAGCTTGCCACAAGACTCTTCCTTTATCACGAAAGGGAGTTCATCAAAATCTCCAACATAGAGGGTGAAATCCTTGTTACGCACCATATATCTACCCCAAACACCCAGACAATATATATGTTTTCTTTTGGAAAAAGAAAAACCAAACCTTCAAGTTTCAATGTTAAAATCTCCCCAACATCCCCTTCTTATCAAAATACCATTTCTAAGAACCATGCTAACATAATCTTTCCTTCTAACAACGACACAAAAAAATACTTACTTTTATTAATTCTAGAGTATACACATTGGAAAAAGAATCCATGAAAGCATTGTTGGGTTAGCTAAAAGTCATTCCTCTTCCTCATCCACTTTCTTTTTCTTTTATTTATTTTCATGGATGGCGTATGTTCAAAACAACACTGTTCTTTCTTATTAAATAAATTACGGACACGGTACTATTTATTTATTTTTAATAAGAGATTGAGCTTCCACTGATAGTGAAAGAATACAAGGGCAAACAAAAAAACAGCAGAACATGAATAATCTAACAATATAAAACAGGCTTCCATTACATGACAATAAGACCTAATGGATAATTACAAAAGTCCTAGGTCGCCATGCCTAAGTATAGACATGCGATCACAAAGCACAGATCTCTTAAGATTAATTTTTAACATCCCCCACCACACACACACACACACACACACACAAAGGGAAAATAACTATGAATGCCGTCTTAAACAACTAATTACTCCTATAACATTATATTCAATATCAACGTTGGTGGATATCACTTTTTCTTAAAGACAATCGTCTTTTACAGCATGAATCTTACAGGAAAAAAAAAATCCTAGCATAGCAGATAAATTATTAAAAGGCTACTTATGGAAAGAAAGTTCAGTGCATGAACAATAAGGATATGATATTGGCAAACAATGGATCCAATTTGAAATCAGTCCTCGTTAAAAGGATGCAAAATTTGATAAAAGTCCCAATGATTGATTATTACAATTAGAGGAAATATAAGATTAACTTTTTCAGCGAACTAAAATATAATTTAGATGTGAACCTTTCACATTCATTATCAATGCACTTTTGAGAATGATCTGTCCCAAATGCAGACCTAGTAATGCCAATACAGCAAAAAAAAAGTATCAAACAGACCTTTCTTGTGGTAGCCTTCACATCAGGAATGTCAAGCACATCACACAATTCCAATAATTTCTCTTTATGACACTTGTCAAATTTTTCTTTGACTTTATTCTTTTGTTTTTCCTGCAAAGAATGGAACTTGCATGATAAAATCTCAGCAAGATAGTGCCTTCACTACCATATGATAGACAGGCTACATGTGAAACAACAAAGTCTGAGAAATTGAAAATTCTGCTAAAAATTTGTAATCCTCCCGATAATTACTAATTACTTCCAGATAGAAACATTTCATAGTGGTAGGCACCACGTACGATATTTTACCTCATCTCCATGCCACACAAAACCTGAAAACCTGGATATGTTGCTCTTAATCTGAAATGCCTGGAGGAAAGGGTAGACAAAAGAAAGAAACAGATGTTAGATGCAAATACTCCATGACTACATTCCAAGTCATAAACCAGAACAACAGAAACACCAAACGGTACTGCTTGTTATCACTTGGCAATATGGATGTGTAACTTCAGGAATCATTCATCAAAGGATGAGATGATTAACCTACGAGAAAACCACTTAGTCAGAAGTTACCTTTCCTCTCCTTCCAAATAGAATTGAATGAAGCAGCCTGAAGATGTCATCAGCCTTCTTCCTTGAGAGTTTGAATGCCACTAAAACAAAAGCCCTCCTTTTTCAGAGTTCAATTATCATAAATATATATATATATATATATTATTAGGCTATGCATAACTCAGAAGTATATGTAGGAAACAAAATAAAAAATGGCTTGAAACAGGAAATTTTATACTGCTTCATTACTTCAGCTGCTATGTCAGAAAACAATCCAAGGCATGAAAAATGAAATTATGCACATACTTTAAAATGGTAGATTAAAGGATAATTAATATATTAAAGACAATGCATTAACAAATTATTCTCGAAGGAATCTGAGCAACAAATAAAGGACATGTCAAAACCATAGTATACAATAATCCACCATAAACGTGTAGGAGGGAATAATATAAAAGAAAAATGGGATGCACGACAACAAACTGTAAGATGATTATAGGATGCATATCATACCATTGGGTATATCTTTAAGTGGAGTACCACGGCCCTGAAATTTTCAACAAAAAGAAATAGAATCAATGCTCTAAAAATATACCAAACTCTCCAGGAAGGCCAAATGAAATATAATACCTTTTCGATATGGAATTCCTTCACAACACATCTTTCTATAGAAGCCACCAACCTTTCAACTGATTTGCGCTCACGAACAGGGCGATCAATAATGGGAGTCTTTATCTCTACCTCGTCCTTTTCATCCTCTTCATTCTTTCCTTTTGATTTAACCACACCCCTTCTCTTTCTTGCTTTCTTTGTTTTCCCTTCCTTGGGATCTTTATCCTTCAATTCCTTGTCATCCTCTTCCATATGGCTGTCAACCTTCTCTACCTTATCTTTAGCATCCTCTTTTTCTTCTTCATTTTCCTCATCTTTGGCATCCTCAATTTCTTTGTCCTTGGTATCCTCAATTTCTTCTTCCTTGGCATCCTCAATTTCTTCTTCCTTGGCATCCTCAACTTCTTCATCCTTGGCATCCTCAACTTCTTCGTCCTTGGCATCCTCAACTTCTTCATCCTTGGCATCCTCAATTTCTTCATCCTTGGCATCCTCGAAGACCTCAACTTCTTCATCCTTGGCATCCTCAATTTCTTCGTCCTTGGCCTCAATTTCTTCATCCTTGGCATCCTCTACATCTTTGACATCCACATTTTCTTCATCTTTGATATCCACATTTTCTTCAATCTTCTTGTCATTTGGAAGCACAACTTCCTCCTTTTCCTCCTTCACAGTTTCTTCATTGCTTTCCTCATCTTCCTTGATCTTAGGTTGCTCTTCCATTTTAGTGGCCTCTGCCTTCTCATCAGTACACTGCTCAATTTCCGGTTCTTTCACTCCATTCTCCAACCCATTAGGCACAGTCTCGTTGACTTTTTCCAGTTCACTGGTTCCATTTGTCACAGTTTCAGTGGTACTTGTCATTTTATCTTCTTCAGTGGTTTCATTGTCCACTGACTCAACGTTATTTTTCATTTTATCTTCTTTATTGTTTCCATTTTCCACAGTCTCAATGGTATTTGTTTTTAAATCTCCACCACTGGCTTCATTTTTTGTATTCTCAAAGGTATTATTTGTTGCATCTTCTTGACCCATGATTGATATACCTCAAATTAATCTACAGAAAACCACAATCTCCTCACGTGCACATCTTTGTCTAGTCACATGAATAAAACTACACAAAATATAAAAGTACACAACCATTCAATATGAATGTTAAATACACACATTATATGGAAAGTAAACTAAATTATAAATCCGTACTAATGCTACTACTCTAGTGATTTGGAGTAACAATAAATAGCATATCAGTATTTTTGTTTGTAGGGGGGACTACTTCAAAAGAAAGTGTTCAAATTTATTGGCTCTGCAGGAGAATATCACAATCCTTAAGGTACTCAATGCCTCAACTGTACATACTGATCAAAAATGAACATTTGCTGTGGGGAATGCTTGACGATAGATGAGGATGCTAAGTTATGATGTACACAAATTCTAAACCATGAATAATTTAAGATTCAAATTTCCTTTGGAATGAGACAGTTTTGCTATGAATGAAATGAAAACTTCTTGTTTGGGTGTGAACTAGAAATAAAAGCACTTTACTACAATACTCTTACAGTAAATGAGAACTTCCTAAGGGTTAATGCGACAATAGATTTATTTTGGGCTGATGCGACAATAGATTTCTTTTTCTCTTATAAAAAACAATAGAATTTTTTAAGTTGAATCTAACCAACCCTTTTTGGAATAAAATTACGGTTAAATTGCTAAATTTGGTCCCTACTGTTTTAAAGTTTTCAATGATTTTAGGTTTCAATTTGGTAACTATAATTTGATCAAATCTCATAAATCATTCTCCTTGTAAGTCGTAATCATAATGGAAATGATGACACATTCTCTATTTTCTATTTATATGACAATGAGCTGGTGTCAAATGGAGTTACTAGACTGTATTAGGATGTTTTAGGATTTAGAACTGAGTAAGAAAACAGAGGAAAAATGGTGGGTTTATAGATGAATAAAATATGGTTAAAGAATGACTTGTGAGGTATAACCAAACCTCAAGGGTTTGTTTGAAATATTATCTGGATTCAAGTTTCTTGTTTTTAGATTCACTAAATCAAATGAATTCAATGGATTTCTATGTAGTGAGTTTATTTATGAAAAACAATATTAGATTGTATTTGAATTCTGTGACTGACAAAGTGATACTTTTGAATATAGCAATTACATACTTCCAATTTAAGATTCTAAATCTACTTGGATCACCACCTAAACTTTTAGAACCATAGGAATAAAATTGGTAATTTAACCTAAATTTTTTTGTGGAGGAAAACAAGATCTGGATTCATCTTTACTTCCATACAACTTTAACTTAAGCACAACAAAGAATTCACTTCAAATCTGAACATAAAAATTAAAGGTATCAGTTCAAATCAATTGCCATTCGGAATCCTTTGAAATCCTTCAGAAAAGCAAAAATTTAAGAAAAGGCAGTAACACAAACTCGAAGCAAACAAATAAAAACAATATCATTCAGAAGGATCTCTAGAAAAGAGAACACCATAAGCGGCAGTAGCATCACTACTTAAAATCCTCAATTCAACAAAGAATTATCAACAGTGGAAGTATATAAGATGCATCATGCATGACATTCAACCCACAAAAAAAACTCTGCATTTGAACCTCAGAAAAACGAATTAAAATGAACACAAAAAATTCGGCCATATTTTCATAACAGATCAGTAGTAAAACGAGCACTCCCGCACAGAGAGCTAAAAGAGATTAACAAAAACAGCTCCGAAGAAACAAAACACACTAAATTCACCCAAAAAAAACAAAAAGAAAGAACAAAATCAGCACAGGACCATCCGAAACCCTAATCCTACAAATCCAGAGCATTCCACAGCAACAAACCCCCAAACTTGCGGAATTGCAAGAAATGGAAAAGCCCTAAAAAAGAAGAGTACAAGTTTAAGGAGCTAAAACTCACTGAATTTCAGAGATTCGGTAATCGATTCGAGCGTCGAACAGAAAGTCGTCGGAGTTCTACTGTCTCACTGTCGCCTCTCAGCTCCGTAGATAACTCTTTTTTTTTTTTTTTTTTTTCGGCTTCGTTTCGTATTCCTTTCACTTTTTTCTTAATATTTAAATTTGTAATAAAATAAACTAAGTCCTTCTCCGAGTATTTATACTTCGGACGTCAAATCCGGAATTTAAAACCAGTTAAAAGCCACGTAGGAGACTTTTGTCAGCTGACGTGGAAGCAGTTTTTTGCGAGGAGGAAATCGACGGTAGGATAGAGTTTAAATGGCATATGGATATTGGACGGTTTGGATGTGAAGTTCGTTTCTTCTTCGAGGATCACAGGGCCCACACACAACATAGGCCACTTTGGCGTGAATTTTTGGCGCCGCCATACATTTGTGAGTTGTGACGTGGCGTACAAACTTAAAATGGAAAATTTTAAGAAATATCTTATTTTGTTTTGTTTTTTATTTATGTATATGAGTTTATACAAAATTAAAATTTTAGAATTATATTAAATAAAGCCATTATATTTTAAGATTTTAAATTTATGAGAAACTTATTTAGACCCAAATCTCAAAATTTAATCCTTAAATTTTTAATTTAATTATTCTCTTTGAGCTTTCCGTTTCGGACTTGTCCTCAACACCTTAGAATACGACTGCTAGGGGAAGATTTCTACACCCTTATAAATTGTGGTTTGTTCTCCTCTCCCACCATTGTAGGACATTACATTATAAGTTCAAATGATACACAGTTAATTAATTAAATTATTTAATCAATCATTGTTTATTCATTTACTAAACTATATTAAAAGTTGCACGCTTATGTGTTGTCAAGTTTTGTCCATGAATATAATCATTATCAATCTATGCTTTACAAGTTGTTGGTAATTAAAATTACGTGGAGTCTATTTTACATTTGTAATTATATCTTATATCTTACTTACAACGGACTTTTAACAAACAATTTGTTTATGATCCAATCATAAACGAGGTCCCTCTCTGGCCAATGAGATAACGAGACTCCATTGTTTTACTCTTGAATCAACACTCTCTTCCATACAAATCAAACCACAATCTTTCACATAATTAAGATCGGAGTAATATGATCATCTTGTGAAATATTAATTTTCTAAATTAACAAATTTACAAAAAAATTATTAAATATTTTGTGATCCAGTCTTACACAAGCTCATTGTATAGAACACTCTCACTCACTTGCATGTACATGAATAATTTCGATCAAATCATTTGTAACAATGGTCAAGTGGGTCATATCAACATTGTTACAAGAATAAGACACGCACAACCATCCGTATAGTATGGACTCTTCGGGTTATTTTTTGAACATGGTCATTGTATATCAACCATTAGTAGTTAATATTAAAAATACAAAAAAAAAACAAATTATTATTAAAAATTAAACATGTAATTACGAGACTTTAGAGCATGAATCCAAAATTAGAAACATAATCTTATCAAATGAAATTCACTCGTTCCCAAAACATTAGTTTTAACATAATTTATAATAAACTAATCACAGTCACAAATTTTCACTTTGTGTGCGATTAACTTCCTTCGTAAATTTTAGTTATTAATCAATCAGACACGTATGGTAGACAAGTAGAGTTCTTAAAATAATTAAAAAAAAAACCGAACACATCTTCGGGACAAACCCAAATTACAAGAGAATCTAAAAACCAAATAAAGTAAAAAAATATACGATATAAGACAAAATCATACCAATATACAAAAAATAGAAAAAATAAGATCATCGAATAATTTTATGTATAATAAATAATATTTGTCGATTGTTTACTTTATCATAAAGTTTTTTTTTAGTCTATCTAGGCATAAGGACTAAAATAATTTCATAATAAAAAACTTAGGAACTAAGATATATAATTAAAGTTGAGGGACTATAGACTAAAATAATTATATAAAAAAGTAAAGTACAAATTAAATAGAAAAAGACAATATATATATATAATAAGGTCAAAATTATTGATTATTAAATATAGATTGAGAGCTTATTGTGAGTAAAAGGTACAATAAAGGAATTTTGCGCACATGGTTTTAATTAAATAAAATAATTAATTTCTCAATAAATTAATTTTGTGATGTCCAAAATATACCCAAATCTCCCCTTCCCTAAATATTATTAATAATTTAAATCCATGATTTTTTAAAATTATTATTTCTAGTAAATATTCAAAAGTTATGGGAAATAAATAATATTTTGTGGAGGAAAAGGGGGTGTGGTGTAAATAATGAGTTTTATAAGGGCAAAAGAAGTAAATAAAAGAAAATTACCCATTTCTTCGTTACCAAACATTTTAGTCTCACTCGCAGGGAATCTCTGCACAGTGCGCAGAGAAAGAGAGAGAAAGAAGAGAGAGAATTCCATTTCCATTTCTTTGAACGAAGATCCGTTCATTTACAGTTCGAATTCCATTTGTTCTGTGTCTTCCTCAAGCTTCATCCATGGAGATCCCTAGCAAAGTGTGGAAGTTCAGATTCCATTTCTTGGCTGCTCTAACTCTATGCCTTACACTCTTCTCCCTCGTCCTCCTCGCTCCTAGATTGCTCTCTCTCGTCGCCTACTTTTGGCCTCTCCTCCTCTCCACCGCGCTCTTCCTCCTCGCTGTCCTCCTCTTCGCCAACGCCTCTCTCCCGCCGCCGGATAAAACCGGTGAAGGCCTTCTCAACTATGTCGCCGGCCATCTCGACCTAGACGCCTCGCTCAAGACTGATTAAACTACGGTTCTATCTCTGACTTTTACTTCTCTGTTTTTTGATCTGTACTCGAATCTGATTTCTCCGATCCATTGTTTCTCTAATTTATGTACTCAATAACGGTTATGTAATGAAATCTCCCTTTCTTGACGCTGATCTGATGTGTTAATTGATGAGGATGCCTCTGATTTCTGTTTTCGAGATTGGTTACTGGTAGTGTTTAGATCGAAGATTTTGTGGTTTTCCTTTCTGTTTCTTGTGAATTTCAGTTGTTGATCCGATGGATTTGAGCTTGAATCGAGTGGGAGATCTCTTTTTCTGTGTTGTTCTTTTGATTTTTGAATTGTGTTGATTTTAATTTGTTTTGTTTTTAATTTTTGAGGGGATATGATGATTATGATGGGGACGAAATGAGATTCGGATGCTCCGTCAATGAATATCGTCGTTGAGATTTGTCGGACGTTATAATAAGGTTCTTTGTGGGTCCAAAATTTCGAACGTTACTCTTATTGAATGAAGACTTTCTAAGAATTTATGGAAAATTTGCGAGAATCTTGATTTTCATTTATTTAGAATCAAATAAAATAATGGAAATGCGGAACAATTCATAGCCATAAAATATACGAGTTCATCTCTGAGTAAAAAATTTATTTTATCTCTATAATAAATTCATTTCTTAATAAATAATTGGTTTATAATTCAATTATAATCGAAGTCCTTCCTAAACTAACGAGAGGACGAGACTATATTCTTAAAATCTCAAAATCAGCATTTAAAAAAATTTCTTTAAATTATTTCTGGAATGTTATTATTAGGTATGTTAATCCTATATTGTTCAACATTATTGTGAATAATATAAATTGGATAATAATAATAAAAAAAAAAACATGAATGGTGAATAATATAAATCGGATAAAAATAATAAAAAAAAAACATGAATTGGAAGGGTTTAAGACGTGAATACCAACGTTAGAATTAATTTTAAGTATTCAAGACAAGTGAAGTTAATTTGAGGTATTTAGTCTTATGTTCAAGTTTAGTTAACTTCGAGAATATTTATTTTAAGTCTTGCATCTTTAGGGAGACTTACTGTGATATACAAGTAAACGATGGGTACATGAATGAGCCGAGACCATAAAGAAAAATTTAAAAGAATTGAAAGTCATTACTATACCAACAATGTGCACCTTTCTTTTAAGGGGCTCAATCATAAGAACTTCATTGTCAATGATGCTTTACTTGGAGGCATGCTCGAAGGACTCGTGTGGGTCATGGAAGTGAGGAGTACGTAACTTGACGAGGTCAGAGGAAATGTAGGAGAATGTCATGACCGTCATGTGTCGAATCCAAATTTCAAATCCTAGGCATGAATCGTTTCAATTTAAGTTAACTTCAGATATTTAGTCTTCATGAAAAGTTAAAAGTTAACTTTAGGTCCTGAAGCGATCATGAAAAGTTAAAGTTCAATATACCTCGTGAAATTGATGCAAAGAGTGTCAAACCCTATTTTCGATTCGGTCGAATTGATCTTACAAAAAAAAAAAAAAAAAGATTTAATCAAGTTTTCAACAACAGAAGTTCTCAAGTCCTACAACAGTTTTGCATATACAAGAATTCTTGGTCTCGCTCTTACATTATGATGCAAAGTGTCACGATCGTACTTGTCCAAAACATGTTATTTGTGACCGCGCGTCGAATGTTCTAGTCATGCTTGTTTAGGATGTGTTGTCCATGGCTGCATGCCTATTCTAAACCCCTTTTATTTGATTTATGTTAGATAAGCCTTTAATGTTCTTATTGTGTCAATACCAAGGTGTATGACCGGTCACCAAAATCATATCTACACCTGCTAGAGCTAAAATGCCCCAAAATATACAACAAAGGGACGTGACTAGTTATCAATTCTTTCTACCCGGGTTACATGCTATCAAAACTATAGTTGTTGTCTATTCACTTTTAGCTCATAACATTGATTTCTTTAAACGCATTTTCTCACTCACATTTTCTAAAACATTTCTCTTAAACGTGACTCGAGACTCGATTTTACGTCAAGATTGTTTGCAAAGTTCGATTTCCAAATGACTCGAGACTCGATTTTATATCAGGTTAGAATAGATGCTGCACAATCGTTGTCTCTCTACCATGAGAGTGCGATTGCGACATAGAACATGTGGTGGTCAGGTGTTTGTTGCTCAACTATAGAGACACTTAACGCTTACGACGTAAGCAAAGTATATAAAACTCAAAACTTTCGGATTCAATACCAACTATAGCGAACAAACTTCTTAAACAAAATACAATGATTTGCTACAACACGCTTGCTATGGATAAGGAACACAATCTCTACTGATACGATGTTTTTTTTTTTGGGAAAACAAAAAGTAAAGTAACGAGAGTTTACGCTCAGGTGGAC